CCCAAACCCCCCCCCCCCCCCCTCTCTCTCTAAGCTCCCATGTAAATTGATGAGCTTGTAAACTCCTATAAATTAATTAAACAAGCCGGCCCCTGTCAGCTAGGATTAATTAATATGATTTAATACTCCTCAAAACTTCCGCAATTATAGAAACGACTCGACTGTCTGGAGTGATAATTAGTTATTCTTCCATATCAAGATACCAAACATCAGCAGCAATAGCAGATGTTGTTTTGAAGTTTTGCAGTTCGGAAGTTTTAAACTTCGGAAGTTTAAAAGATTTGAAGACTTTAAATTATTAATAAAGTTAGACAAATTATTATGTCGGTTAATTATAGCTTCCGAAAATTCGTGAAAACTGCACTCAATATCAATATTCAATATCAAGAATTCATAAAATTCGATATATCCCTAATTCAAGGTGACAAGGAGGTGTTGCTTCCTTAACTGTTAAAATCAAGCGCCATATTTTCAGGAATTAAACGAAATGATATTTTATTATAATATATCTTTAATTCACATAAATTTATACATTCAGTTTGGATTCTATCCTGGGACCCAAAAAAACTATGAAATAGAAAAATGTTTAGCATGAAGGTTTCTCAAAAGTCAGCGTTAATTGAAACTCAACTTTTAAAGTGTACAGTGTACAGTGTACAGTGTACAGTTGCTGTGCTTGATGTTTACTTGGCATTAACAGTTGTCTTTCTATTCCACAGTTTTAGGCATTGAGAAAGTTTTTTTTCTCTGGTTTTGGAGATCCCATTGTATTTATAGATTTACACCTGATCTCTTTTTCTCTATAATAAAATGGCGTAAAAGCGAGTTTGAGAAATAAATATTTTTTTAAGAATTAACGAATGAATCCAACCCTTTGCACTGATATCTTCAGTTATTAATCAAAGTTTTGGTTGGTATCGTGGTATGTTAATGAAAAACCAGAGATTAATGTTTTATGTCTGGTTTTAAAAATTATAATTACATGTTGAACGTTTTTTCGAGGTTTGCGCAATCCCAAAATTAGCCACCCTATATGTTGTTATTGTTTGTTCTAAACCTGTATTCCTGGGTCCAGGTGGTCGCAAAGAACATCACACAGATCGCCCTGATCTCTGAGGAGGCGACGAAGTACCTGGCCCAGAAGTATCTGCTGACCAGAGACCAGATCACCTTCGGCCTTCCAACAGCTGATGTCAGGTGCAAGGTTTAGGATATACTAAAGGGACAGTTCCAGATGTTAGATTTAAATGCTTTTAACAATTTTAAAGATAATTTTCAGAAGATTATATATTGGCATTTAATTTTATTTTAAAAGTATTATAGTCTTCACAAATCGAAATTCAAATTTTTCAGAGACCTGAAATTTTGTTATCAATAAGTTAAATAAAAAGTAAACTTTTTTTGAAGGGTTTAGAATTATTTTCAATGGTATACGTTTTTGTTAACGTATAGAAGTAATTATTGAAGTAATTTTTAGATTATTATGTGTCTTTTTCAATTTACAAATTTTTTTTTAGGGTAGGCAAGTTTTTCCGGGGTAAAGAATTTCTTTTGTTATTTTTCCAGAATATAGACAATTTTTTCCAGAATATAGACAATTTTATCATGGTTTTAGAAATAAAACGGTTCTTAGATACATTTATAGTTTTTAAGAGTTATTTTCGAAGTTTTTTTTTGCCTTCACCACTTTATATTAGAAAGAAAAGTAAAATTACGGTTTTTCTCCAGAGGAACCCTGTTAAATGATGTTTGTCCGGTCAAAATGGACTTTCCTTGTCAGCCTGGTAAATACAGGTGATACTTGATATTCGTTGTATTAATTATTATTATTATTATTGATATTATTGTTGTATTCTTACTGTCATAAATAATTATTATTGAAAAAAATATGATGATAATATTTAGATTATTATTATTATTATTATTATTATATTACAGGGCGTATAACGGTTACTGTAACAATGTTCAGAACCCGAACTGGGGAGTTGCGAACAGAAGATATCTTAGGAACAGAAAACACATATTTTATATTTAACTAAAAATATTTTCATATTGTTAACGACTTATACAGCTGGAAGTAACGTGGAATTTAGACAAACCTTTTTAAAATTTTTTATGGTTTTTATCTTTAATCTGTAAGCCACAATTTACGCCATTTAAACTTGTTTAATCTCAAAACTGGACGCACCTCGGTAGTTTTAATATATTTTCTACTTCAAGCAGTAAACAAACGAGTTATGATGATATAAGAATCTAGTATTGGTCAAAACATCGCTAGCAATCCTTGAATTCTATAGATTATTGATCATTGCGTATTGATCCTGAAATAATTCAATGGATGAATTAAACAGTTTAACTAAAATAAATTGCAAGTATGTAAGATTGAAATCTTACATTTTTTATGCATAACTCCTCTTATTGAAAAGCTATTTAGAGAACTAACGTATTTTTAAATTGCATGATATGTAACAAATAAATTTTCTCTTTTCAAACTTATGTCTAAAATCAAAACTAAAGGAGCTACGAGGTCTCTAAATTTTAACTTCTCCTAGTTTGCATTAATTCATCCATGGTCCAACTGCATAAATGCCTCCTTCTTCCTTCCATGTTCTTCTCATCTCTTTTCTTTCTCCCGCTTCTTACTTCTCCTATATAGTGGGACCCATGGAACTGAAAAATATGAAGACGACATTTTAGCAATCTTACAGGTTACCCACTTTAGAGACGACTGTAGTGAATTTATACTGTCTGTTTTTTTTATATTCATAATTCCCTGCGACTGAAATCTTGTTTCTTTCTTATGCCAACCATTAAATAAACCAATAGAATAATATATTTAAAGCTGAAGACTCAATTTAAACTTGGGTCATATTTTGAGAATTTCCAGTCGTCTTTACAGTCTCATCCTTTGGGGGTAACCCTGTATATGTGTATTTGTTGTTTGACAATTTTTAAGAGAAATGGGTCTGTGTACACTGCACAAATGCTATGTTCCATGTTTCTTGGACTGTTTGAATCTTGAGTCCATCAGATGTTTTCCCATTCCACAGTAATATGAGTCTCACTGCATGTTTTACCCTAGCAGTTCCACGTCAAACTAATGAAAATTGCACTTTAGTTTGAAATATTTTATGTTTTCAATCATTACTCCTCTAATTCATGATTGATTGGGAAGAACAAACATTTTTTGAATGTCCTGTATATAACCTTTTAATTTTTCTGTTAACATACTTTTTCTTAAAATCAAAGCTAGAGGAGCTACGAGGTCATAAAGTCGTAATAGTACTGTGGCAAAAACTTTAACTTCTCCTTTAGTCTAGTTTGCAGTGAGTTGTTAAATATTTGTCTCTGTATCTAGATATATGCCTCCAGACTATGGAGATGGAATAAGTATTCCTAGGCAGGACTCCAGGTACAGTGTGACCATCTAAACATGTTAATTAGTATTCCTAGGCAGGACTCCAGGTACAGTGTGACCATCTAAACATGATAATTAGTATTCCTAGACAGGACTCCAGGTACAATGTGACCATCTAAACATGATAATTAATATTCCTAGACAGGACTCCAGGTACAGTGTTACCATCTAAACATGATAATTAGTATTCCTAGGCAGGACTCCAGGTACAGTGTGACCATCTAAACATGATAATTAGTATTCCTAGACAGGACTCCAGGTACAGTGTTACGATCTAAACATGATAATTAGTATTCCTAGGCAGGGCTCCAGGTACAGTGTGACCATCTAAACATGATAATTCAAAACTTCTCAAAAAGAATTGTCTACATCTATTTTAAAAAAAAAACTGTTAAATATTTGCTCACCTGTTTTTAAACTAAGATAATTAATATCATTAAATCAGTCGTCTATAATTTGTTTAGTACACATTACATAACATAATACATTTTTTAGATTAAAATAAAATATGCAGAATAACTTTTCTTTTAAGAGTTTCTTGAAAAAGAAGTGTTTTTGCCACAAACTCAAATGATCTAATTCCCCATATCTTTGCAACCTTATGGTGTAAACCTTTGATATTTCAAAAAAAAATTTTATAGTTCGAAATATCAAAGATCTACGACAAGATACAGACATAAAAGAATCAGAGTTTGTGGCAAAAACTCATTTTCTTTGTTTATTACAATCCATTTAACAAATTAACATTTCTAGGAATAAGTTTCTACCGAGTGCGCGGGAGGTATCGGTCAGCGTACACACTGACTCTGACATCCCCCACTCCCACTTGATGGCCGTGACGGCGATCTGGGGAGAGTTCATCTACCACGACGTTTCCCACACCCCCCAGATGGCGGGGTTCCTCGGACAAAGGTTGAAATGTTGCGGAGTAGAGTTTGAATCTTTTCATCCTGAGTGTTATCCGATCAAGGTAGAGATTAATTTTTATTCGGTTTAAAATTTAATTATTCTTTTTTTCTCAAAGGGGAAACTGTAAACATATTTTCAAGTATAATCCTTGTAGAGTGGTATGTCCGACTCCCAACTATATCCTAAAGTGGTATGTCCGACTCCCAACTATATCCTAAAGTGGTATGTGCGACTCCAAACTATATTCTAAAGTGGTATGTCCGACTCCAAACTATATCCTAAAGTGGTATGTCCGACTCCAAACTATACCCTAAAGTGGTATGTCCGACTCCCAACTATACTCTAAAGTGGTATGTCCGACTCCCAACGATACCCTAAAGTGGTATGTCCGACTCCCAACGATACCCTAAAGTGGTATGTCCGACTCCCAACGATACCCTAAAGTGGTATGTCCGACTCTCAACTATATCCTAAAGTGGTATGTCCGACTCCCAATTATATCCCAAAGTGGTATGTCCGACTCCCAACTATACCCTAAAGTGGTATGTCCGACTCCCAACTATATCCTAAAGTGGTATGTCCGACTCCCAACTATACCCTAAAGTGGTATGTCCGACTCCCAACGATACCCTTTAAAGCTTGGTCTGCCCAAGAATAAATGAAATATCGATATTTGTTGTTTTCAATTGTGATATATATATGAAAGTGACATACAGATTTCTTGCAACAGAAACCGTTAAAGAAATTGTTAGACTTAACAGTTTTCAAGCTAGAAAAATGACAATATCTTCCACATAATCAAACAGATAAAGGTTTAAAGGGTTTCATTTTGAATCGGGCATGGCCCTCTTTAAAGGGACTGTAAAGGAAAAATGAAAGGGGGTATAGGATAAAACCTGAGAATCAAAGGCGTTAAACGATACACATAAAACATCAGATAATTGTGTCAAATTTATACGAAAATGCATATATATGCAATTTTGTATAAAAGTTGTAGTATTAAACAGATCATAGTCAACAAATACGCATTTTTAATAGATACAATACAATTGATAATATAATTACATATAGTCCGTATAGTCCGTATTACGTCACCAGAACTTCATCCAATGGCAGTGCAGCATCATTGTCACGTGATACAGACGGAAATCACGTGACCAGTATATTGCACTGCAATGGAACCGAATAAAATTTAAGATTGCTGAAAATGATACAGCGTACGGGGAGATGGGACTAAAATGCCAAGAGTATACAAGGTAATACTTTTTTCATTTTTTCAATTTTTTTTTTTTTGTCATTTTCTCTTTTTTTCTTTTATCATATTTCTTTTTATCGTTTTTCATTTATAATTTAAGCCCTCCCAATCATAGATTTTTCTATCTTTTATTGCCTAAAGTATAGAACTTTTCTAATCAAAGATACTATTTTATCAATCAAAGATGATATTTTTCTTCAAGATGCCCTAATCGCCATAGGCTGGCTATTATCTAAAAATTTAAGATATTATTTATCAGATAAAGATATTGTCTTTAAGACGCCTTCCCATCTACAGACTAGCTGTTTCTTCAAAATCAAAGATATTATTTATAAATTAAATAAAATTTTATCTTTAAGATGCTTTCCTAATCAAGATGCTCCTTTTAAAAGGAAAAATTCCCGATTCTGTTCTTGTTTAGATCTGGAACTGCGAGTAGGACAGGGTGTCATCTTGGACCTAGAGAACAAATAAACCAGGTAGGACAGGATGGCATCTTGGAACTAGAGAACAAATAAACCAGGTAGGACATGGTGTCCTCTAGGACCTTATAGAGAACAAATAAACCAGGACAGGGTGTCCTCTAGGACCTAGAGAACAAATCAACCAGGTAGGACAGGGTGTCCCCTAGAACCTAGAGAACAAATAAACCAGGTAGGACAGGGTGTCCTCTAGGACCTAGAGATTAAATACACCAGTTTGCAATCTTACATAAATCATGATTTATTTGACTGTCAAATATTAATATTTGTATTCTTAAATTCATTATTTCTTATCCTTCATTTAATTTTTCCTTATATTCACTGCAAATTAATATTTTTTTTCATTTATTAATTTTGATTTCTTCGTTATTCTCTTTTCTAATCATATCTAATCTCCAGTGCTATTAATTCTTTGATAACCCTTTGCATAAATCCTATCTCCCCTCACGGATCCCACACAAGAATCTTTAACTTTAAATGTCAAATCTGTTTGTATATATTACTCAAGATCTGATTGACGTTTAGTAATCCCTTCTGTTCAATCAAATACATCAAAATATAATCCCTTTTCATTAGTTGGATTAAAAATCAATATATGAGGACCAATTTCATGATCCATGTATTGATTTGTGATTTGCATTATGATCACGTTTTTATATCTATGTAAAGAACCATGTTATCATCCCTGCTATGTTATGGTTCATGTTTTGAGCCATGTTATGATCTATGTTGTAATCCATGCTTTGATCGATGATCCATGTTATGCTTTTTATTACTTATGATCCGTGTTATGATCCATATATATGTTATGAATGTTATGATCTACGTTATTATCTATATTTTGATCTATGTTATGATCCTTGTTATCTTGCCTTTTGTATCCTTTTCATGATTCATGCTACAAGCCATTCTTTGATCTATATTATGATCCATGGTATGATGTATGTTATCATCCACATATTACAATCCACTTGTTTTGAGCCACGTAATTTTGTAAATCGAGTATTCAACTCTTTAAAAAAAGTGGCCACTTTAAATAACGTTACAGTCCCTTTAAACATAAAATAATTGTAGGTTACGTCGTTTCTGGACGGTTCCGCTATATACGGAAGCTCTAAAGAGGAAGCGGAGGAGCTAAGATTATTTACCGGAGGATTACTCAGGGAACAGACTCACATAACGTCGAATATTTTCAGTTTTTTAGAATTGATAGGAATTATGTCTTTGCCATTGAACTTCTGATCTCTATATCATAGCAACCCAACGTCGTAGACCTTAGATATTTCTAGGTTTGAGTTCATAGCAAGGATTCAACTCTTCCGTTTATTATCCTAAATAAAGACTGGACACAAGACGATAATAGACATTAGAAAATAGACACTATACCCTAGAGAGTAGACAGTAGACAGTAGAGAGTAGACAGTAGACACTGGAGATCAGACAATAGACACTAGGTGGTAGACAGTAGACACTGGAGAGTAGAAAGTAGATACTAGAAAGTAGACAGTAGACCCTAGAGAGTAGACAGTAGACATTAGAGAGTAGACAGTAGACAGTATACACAATGAGAGTAGACAGTAGACCCTAGAGAGTAGACAGTAGACACTAAAGAGTAGACAGTAGACACTGGAGAGTAGACAATAGACACTAGGGGGTAGAAAGTAGACACTGGAGAGTAGAAAGTAGGCACTAGAGAGTAGACAGTAGACCCTAGAGAGTAGAGAGTAGACCCTAGAGAGTAGACAGTAGACAGAAGACAGTAGACAGTAGACAGTAGACAGTAGACAGTAGACAATAGACAGTAGACAGTATACACTAGAGAGTAGACAGTATACACTAGAGAGTAGAGAGTAGACCCTAGAGAGTAGACAGTAGACACTAGAGAGTAGACAGTAGACCCTACAGAGTAGAGAGCAGACCCTAGAGAGTAGACAGTAGACAGTAGACAGTATACAGTAGACAGTAGACAGTAGACAGTAGACAG